CGATCCACCCACCTCGGCCTCCCACAGCACTGGGACAACAGGCGTGAGCAACCACACCCAGCCAAAAAACTTTTTTAAAAGTAGATTAGGAGGATGGATGCCTGTAGCACATTGGTTACGGCACTGACATCAAGGCTGGTGGATTGGAACCAACCCCAGGCCAGCTAAAACAATGACAACTGCAACAACAACAAAAAATATCCAAGTGTTGTGGCAGGTGCCTGTAGTACTAGCTACTCAGGGAAAGCAAGAGACTAAAGCAAGAGAATCATTTAAGCCCAAGAGTTTGAGGTTGCTTTGAACGATGACACCACAGCACTCTACCGAGGGCAACAAAAAGTAGATTAGGTCACTCCTAGCAGACTGATGTTATTCAGAACATAATAAAACTTGGACTGGCTAGTACACTTGGCAAGAGGCGAAGGATATATCCAGGCAACTTTTCTTGATGGCTAGTAAATGGTGCTCAATAAATTCATACCTTTAACCTTAGGCATAATTCTAGGTTGAGACATAGCAGTGAACAAAAGGGAAAAAGTCCCTCCTCTTTGAGGGTTTCTATTCAATGAGAAGCTTTCTAATGAGATGACAAATGAACAGACTCCTGAGTGAATAAAAGTTGGTCAGACACAAGGAGAAACGGTAAATTACTGTTTCAGGCCAAGGGACTGCAAAGACAAACATGGAGAGGTTAAGAAGTATAGTAGGTATGTACAAAGAAAGGCAAGGAAATGAGTGTGGCAGGGACACAGTGAACAAAAAAAGAAGTAGAAAGTAAGGTCCATCTTAAGCAGAGGCCAGATCTTGTTGCAACTTGAAGGTCACTAGCTTGGAATATACTTTAAAATACTTTAAATTCAAGAACCACGAGAGTTGAGTATGAAGATGTGTTGGGAATAAGAGAGACATGATCTGTTTTCAAGGGAATTAGAAACTGTGTACAAGTAGGCTGTGGGGAAAACAGAATCACAGGCAGATCATGCAGGAGGCTTTTGAGACAGTGTCTCAAGCTGTCGCTCTGAGTAGAGTGCCATGGCATCACAGCTCACAGCAACCTCAAACTCTTGGGCTTAAGCGAGTCTCTTGCCTCAGCCTCCCAATTAGCTGGGACTAGAGGTGCCTGCCACAACCCCTGGCTTTTTTCTGTTGTAGTTGTCATTGTTGTTTAACTGGCCCGGGCCGGGTTCGAACCCACCAGCCTGGTATATGCAGCCAGTGTATGTGGCTGGTGCCCTAACCACTGAACTATGGGTACCGAGCCATTCAGGAGGCTTTTGAAGCAGTTCATCTGAGTAATGAAGGAAGCTTAGATTAGTAGAGATATAGAATGGAAACTAATTTTAGGAAAGACTTTAGCTAAATATATATGGTCAAAACAACTGCCATGGATTAATGGAAGGAAAGAAGACTGTTTTGTTTTTGTTTGGGTTTCTTTTGGAGACAGTCTCACACTGTAGTGTTAGAGTGAAGTGCCATCATCATAGCCCACTGCAACCTCAAACTACTGATCTCAAACAATCCTCCTGTCTCAGCCTCCCAAGCAGGTGGGAGCTGGTAGCCAGCACCACCCCATCTGCCTACTTTTTTTTTTTAATAGAGGTTGGTCTTGAACTCCTGGCCTCAAGAGATCTTCCCACCTTGACCTCCCAAAGTGCAGAGATTACAAGCGTGCCTGACTATTTTATACTTAAATAAGTATCTCAAAACATGTGGGGCCAGTTCTGATAATTCTGATTATAACACAAGCAGCAGGGGCAGCGCCTATGGCTCAAAGGAATAGGGCGCCAGCCCCATATGCTGGAGGTGGTGGGTTCAAACCCAGTCCCAGCCAAAAAAAACTGCAAAAAAAGCACCCCCAAAACAAGCAACAAGTAACACCACTCTAGTCTTGGTAATAGAGACCCTGTCTCAAAAAAAAAAAAAAAAACAGGCTCGG